GAATCAATAACTTTTCGAAACAACAATTTTGTACGGAAAAAATCTTTTTTTTTGGATTTCAAAAGTTTTTGAAGTTATTGAGGAATAGTGGCTTAAAGTCCACTGCTGAAGAAGATGTAGCAGGAAAGTTGGAATTGTTCAAATTTTTTGAAAACGATATCGGCGATTCAACACCGCAAACACATTCTTTCAAAAGTATTAAGTAAAAATAATTACTTCACAGTCTGAGCGCTGCAATTTTGTATTATTAAAAAACAAGAGAAGACAAATTCTACAAAAGATAACCCATTTTCCTTTAATTAAAAGACTGATTACCGGAAGTGGCTAAAAAAAAGCCGAAAGCAACTTTACCATAAGGAAAGTAATTTTTAGAAAAGCAAAATTTATTTGACACAGCAGCCTTCAGAATATTACCTAAGTTAACAAGAACTCGTATTCCATAAACAAAAAATGTTGCCGTTTACAAGCAGGCGAGAGAATTACCAGTGAGACCAACGACTAGACCAATGTCTATAGAAGATACACATGCATATACATTCGGTGTCTAATTTTAGAGAACAATAGACGACTTTATCTAATCTATCAGCGGTAGAATGCCCAGAAAAAAGAAAAAGTCGCATAAAAATACAGGAAAGTGGCATTTGCGAAATGGCAACGAACAAGGATGAATGTAAGGAGGAGAAGGTGAGAGCAGTGAATGAAAACGTAGGAAGAAGAGGAGCGGGTAACAAGAAGGCAGTTAAGTCTTGTTTGAGACTGCCAAAGCTGTTAATGTGTTTGCAATATGTGCTAGCTTAATCCCCTTGGTTAGCCGGCCAACTTAGCTGATCGGCTTGGTCGGTTAGTCAGCTAGCTGTTAAACAGCCCAAAGATCTAACTATCTAAGAAGCAAGTTAGTTATACAACTAGCTAAATAGCTGGCCGATTGGTTGAATGATTGACTGACTAAATGATTTAGGTCGTCGTTGTTGTTGTTGTTGTTGTTGTTTTTATTGTCGATGTTGTGCTTGTAATCTTTTTATTGTATCCTCTCAATTTCCTCTGCAAATGTTTTCCACCTCTGTTCTTGTGGGTTCACACTTTTTAACGCCTTCCAACAACAAAAACCAGAAGAAAACAAAGCCGACATAAAAATAATTTTTGCAAAAACAACCAAAATGATCTTAAAAATGTAAGAAAAAGAACGTTTTCTTTTTCTTTCCATCTTTTTTGTTTTGCCGCGAAATTTTAATTTAAAACAACGCAAAATGTAGAAAGACATAAATATTAATAGGCAGTCAATCGTAGACAAATGGGAGCGGCAGTTACCTTGTCGATACCGTTACTTTGACATACAAAAGAAGCAGGTTTTCTTATGTTCACCTAATCAAAGTAGAAAAAAGCCGCATCAAAAATTGGGGCAATTAGATTGAAACCGATGCTGTAGTAAAGCGGTAGATATAAGTTACGGTAGACTGTTAAAGAAACGGCAAAATGCTTGGGAATCATCGTTGATACGGTCTGTCAATGTCTGTGTTTGCGAAAAGAAAGCCAAACATCGACGATTACCATTGCAATAGGGGAACGGCTGCAACAACAATTGAGCCAAAGTTCCGGAGTGAGTTGCGGAGGACCAAGAAATCTTAAGTGGATATTTAACACTTTTAAAGGTTTAGTGGAGAAGTCCCGGTACCAGGTCGGCTTATTTTACATACTTCACAAGTGCCACTTACAGCCGCCGCAATACTGCAACAGCATGGCTGTACTAGATGGCCCACTGTAGATATCTTTGTACATTCGGATCTTATTGCTCTTTAACCGAACAAATTGCTCAAAAAACCGCGTTATCGTTTCTTTTTTTTTTT